CTTTTTTTTTCCCTGTCATCAACGTTGGCCAACAAAAAATATAATTAAACTAGTAATAACCACAGGTTAGGAAGTGCGTGCGAGGGCTATGCATGATTTGTTTCACTGAGGTTAACGATTTCATTGTAAAACAGTGGCGTTGTATTCTTTCTCCATTTTGGGCATTTATATTTGCAGCGCAATAAAGGGTTGCATAGTGTGGGTGATTGTTTTCCCATAAACGAGACAAAGGGACCTAAGAGTGGTTTTACTGACCTTGTGAAACAGTAACACCAGTTTGATTATACACCAGTTCTATTTTGTGTTGGGTTTGACAAAATGGTTGTTTTTTCACGTTGTAAATAAAAACACTGTTGATTATAAAATGGACATATTGATTGAGTCAAGGAAGATTTCGATACCCGACAACAACAGACACGAACAGGAAACGTTCCGATTACAAGTTCACACGCTCGATTTTGATTGGACGGCGCGCCAACTATGCATGAGCTGCACGTGATTCTTCGACGAAATAGACGTCGTCCACGTGATAAAATTGTGTTGTGTGCATTCCAATTTATGGACCGCCACTTCTGCATGAACCGCACGTGATTCTTGACATTCTTAGCTTCAAGAAGGCGAAATTTACATATTATTTGAGCCCTTCAACTACATTAAAGATCATTGACTATGGAACGTGAAACAGCTATGCTTTGGTGAGAATTGTCTTCTGCTTGGTGTTGGTTTCTAGCGGTCAGAGCGCCTGTGCTCAAATTACTGCTGCTTCGTGTTTGTCTCGCGTGGTCAAAGCGCCTATGCTCAAATTACGTCCTTTCATTTCATTGGTTCTTAGTGTCCCTAGGGACAAATATTTGGAAGGACGACTTTTTTTGCTAAATTCGAGTCACTGCAAGGCTGTATAACTGCCACGCATGCGTTTGTAACCAATGTTGAGATTAGGATTGCGGGCTCCGCTGGTCGCCCGCAAAAACCTTCATGAGGAATCGAACACTGCAATTCTCGGCTTTCGCTTATGCTTTATTGCAGAGTTTCATAGAATTTTAAAGTACGGTAAAATGTAACTGGAACAACTTTCCCAATTAGTACGTAAAATTTCGATGCAGAACTCTTCAAAGGTCCCCACAGGAAAAAAAAAATTATGGCGCATTGAATTGTTTCATTTGTGTAAATTACATTTGGCAAACGTCGTTGTCAACTGCTGACGTCTATTACTCAATTCGGTATTGTTTAATGTCAAATATGTACCGCAATCATTTATGAATCATTTTCCCAGTGGATCGTACAGCGTTACATAGTTTCTTTGATAAGTGACTCCTAAGCTCGGCAGCTAAAATCTGTTGTTTTTAGACGTAAGTACCCCAACTACTTACGTCAGCGATCCCATTCACAAATTGAAATTGAGTGAGACACCATTAGTTTTTGACCAATAATTGCAAAAATTAACATAACAGGTCACGTATTTCAAAGGGACGTGATCACAAATCTTTTGCCAGGGCTATAAAGGATTTTGCTCACAAAATAGTTGGCCTTCACGGATCAAAGGATTTGCAGGTGTCAATTCTGTTTTTGTGTCGATAAGAGTTTCCTTGACAACTTCTTTTCAGTTGCAAATCAGGTGTAACTCGTCATGTTCCACTTTGTCTGTTCAGATAAATTATTACGCCTTTCTTTAGTCAGGTGTGAAGTTTATTAACCCGTGCTCTAAGGTTTGGTGTAGCAATCACTGATTTGAAGTCTGCAGTGAAGATGAACATTTACGCAAGTCTTGTATTTCTTGTCGCATTTACCGGTAAGGTTCTTTCTCTCTCTTAAACCGGGCTGAATTTGCATTATTTCGATGAGCCCTGTATGCTGTTTATATCAGTTGTCAATATGCTTTTGGAAAGTGAATCTGCTTTAGTAAGGTCAATTTAAAAAGTTTTATGTAGTAGGCAGTAGCAACATGGTAATTTTAGAATGGCTTCGTGCTCAACATTATCTTTAATCTAGACCATGAAGGATAGAGAATATATATTACATGATGACTTGAAAACAGTGATATCGGTAAAAGTGGTATCGGTTGTCCCAGAAAAATTTTCTGCTCTTGGGGAATAGTCGTGTAAGGCTTGTTCCAACGAATTGTTACGGATGATTGCTTATACCTCCTTCGTTTAAGAACCTAGCCAAGTTTTGCAATGTAAGATAAACTCGCTCTTAAATGTTGTGGTTTTTTTTTGTTTTTTATCTGACCGAGAATTCATCCTGTTAATGCGGTGTTATATTTTTCACCTGTTAATCATTGAGCCAAAATCAGTTTGCACAGCAATTTATATTAGGCGAAACAGGTATGAATTCAAACTTTGTTCGAATACCACTTTCAGCAATTTAATGACTAATATCACGATGTTTGATTATTTTGTTGTCACTTATATTTGTATAACAACAGGCTAGTTGGACTGTTGCGAGGGCAGGTGATACTTGAAGCTGCCGAGCAGTTTCTTTTCATTGCAAATAAACCATTATTCGCCGCCTCTTTCGCTTTCTTGGTTCTTGTGAAGCTTAGGAATTACGACTACTTTTTTACAAGATAGAACGCGGGAATCTTTGTGTAAGAAGCTTGAATAACTAAAGAAACATGACTCTACGATTAAACTGCGTTTTTCTTCTTCCCTTGGTAGGTAAGTTCGCATTTGAAACGATTATTATCGACCGAAGCAATATTTACAATGTAGAGGGTTTGCATTTTGTCAAACATTCATCAATCCTCAAATAGCGGATACATTCTTTGGAAACGAAGAAGTTTTTTTTATAAACTTTCAGGTATTTTTTTCTGTCCGAATTAACATGTCAAAGTACTCCGACCATAAGGGCTATTTTTGTTTTCAGTGAAATATGGTAAATTCGTGAACCTTTGCATATAGTAAATGAAGCCATCTTTTCTTTAATGATTTCCTTTTTTTTTAATAGCGAAGTATATTCGCATTTCAAACCGCTATATTTAAGAGCCAGTTTTACTTTGTGATTTGTTGGTGATATGGTGGTTCGCATTTTGGAAGATCAAAATTTGTTGTTTTACATGACAACAATTTATTCCTCTCCTTGTCAATTAAAACAAAGGGTAATAATCTCTTTTGTCCACTCTCTCAGCTTAGGTAAGAATTTTCCAAAACGTATCAAAGGAAGGCACTGGTTATTTTTTGTAAGGTTTTACATATCTTTGCGATGTTAGATGCACTTTGTTTTAACGCCTTTTGGGTTAATAAAGTGCAGCAACTTTGCTTTGAGCTGAGGTGTCTCAGTAAATTGATCCAACCTATTGTCTTGTGGTGAGACATAAAACACCGTAGTTCCGGTACCACAATATAAATAACTTCAACAGGGATTGCTTTGGATTTCAAAAATTTAAATTGGAAGACCTAGATTTGCTGACAAGTGTTATATGTTTACATTGTTAGAGCTGTACAATAAATTGTCTTCAGTGCCAAGCCATTTTCAATTTTATATGACACTAAAATTTTAATATTTATTCAAAGCAGTAGAACACAACCAAATATTGGTTTCGAAAGTCATTTCAATATCATTTTTGTTTCTCAAGCGAGTTTCATAACTTCAGGGAGAACGATTTTCATTTCCTGTTCTGGTAAGAAAAAATTGATTGAGCTGGATCAAAGTCAATGTGCTATTTTTAAACATTTACTATGCAGTTCTTCAAACCAAGTGCAGGATAATTTTATGAAAACCTGACTTCGAAAACCAGACTGCCTGTTATCTTTAATCAATGCACAACGAAAGAAAAAGTTTCTAATTAAAGAGAATGAATGCTTAAAACCCTACTGTTTTTCTTCTGTTACAAATTTCGGTCGTCAAGAAACATGTTTTGCTCTACCATGACAACGTCGGTTTGTTTTGCACCAAACGCAACTTACATGATCCTTGATTTGAATTTACTGGTGATTTTGTCATTTCAGTGAATTGAATACTTTTTGATTAAGATAAAACAGAAAGCCTCGCCGACTTTGACGTTTTCTCTATATATTTTCACTTGTGACTTGGATTTTTTTTTTCTCCGTATGTGTGCGTGTGTGTGTGTGGGGGTATGTTTTGATAGATGTCATCACTATGGGCTTACATCACCGTTAATGGGCTAAAAAATTCACCATGCAAACTGGCACAGTCAATCTTTGGCAAAACTCTATACTTCGCTAGTTATGTTTTCCCAGGCACTCAATTCGGCGCCAACGAAATGTGAAATCACCCTGTAAACCGCTGGCTAAAGTAAAGTTTGAATAGATATCACATAGAATGTTTTTTTCTTCTTAGCTGCCACTCTTTTGTCAGCTTTTGCGGCTGATTTTAGCGACACAGCATGTGGCGGTATGTGCATCAAAAGTCCTTCGCAGGTCTGGAAAGGTTCTGTTTCGTCGTTGTCGTGACAACAAGAAGTTACACACTGAATTGATTGCTATACCTAATAAAATTATTTGCACTTAACAGTTTAACGCAACTCCGAAATTTCAGAATTTATCTTGATTACGACTGGCTTCGTAGACTTTGCTTCTTACATTCGGGGTTTTATTTTGCGCAGGCGGGAGGGCAGTGCTCACTGAAGTCTTCTTTTGAAACGTTCTCTTATCCAAGTGAGGAATGCGAGGCACTAGTTAGAGACTTTTCTTTCACCGGCAAATATATTTTCCTGTTGAAGATGTGAAGATTATGAAGGCTCGACTTTATCCATACCTCACTATTTCTCAAGCAATGAAAGAAGAAAATCGAGAAGTCCTGCCGAAAAAAGGAGTCCAGTAAATAGATGAACAGATAGACAACTAATAAAAAAGAAGAAGCTCTAAGTAAGAGAAACGTCATAGGAGCCGAAATCAGTTTGCGCAGCAATTTGTATTTGGTAAAATAGGTTTGAATTCCAACTCTGATCGACTACCACTTACAGTGCGCAGTGACTAATATCACAGCGTTTGATTATTTTGGTGCAATAATCACTCATATTTGTATAACAATAGGCTAGTTGGACTGATGCGAGGGCAGGTGATACTTAATGCAGAGCAGTTTCTTTTCAGCTGCAAATAGATTATTATTGGCCGCCTCTTTTGCTTTCTTGGTTGTTGAAAAGCTTAAGAATTATCACTCTTTTTTCTATAAGATAAAACGCGGGCATCTTTGTGCAGGAAGCTCGGAAAACTAAAACAACATGACTCTACGATTAAGCTGCGTTTTTCTACTTGCCTTTGTAGGTAAGTTTGCATTTGAAACTTGCTCGTCATCGACCGAAGCAATATTTACAATGCAGAGGGTTTGCATTTTGTTAAGCACTAATCAATCCTCACATTGCTGAAACATCCCTTTGGAAATGAGAAGCTTTTTTGACCTTTTAAGTATTTTTTTCTGTCCAAATTAACGAGTCGAAGTACTCCGACCACAAGGGCTATGTTTGTTTACAATGAAATACGGTAAAATCGTGAACCTTTGCATACAGTAAGCGAAGCTATCTGTTCCGTTATGATTTCTTTTTTCTTTTAATGGAGAACAACTGAAGATTATTTAGATCTCAAACCGTTATATTTAAGAGGTAGTTTACCTTGTGATTTATTGGTGATATGGTGGTTCGCATTTTGGAAGATCAGAATTTGTTACATGACAACAATTTATTCGTCTCCATTTCAATTAAAATAGATGGAAATAATCTCTTTTATCAACTTTCTCAGCTTTGGGAAAAAAATCTTCCAAAACGTATCAAAGAGAGGTACTGATGATTTTTGAGAGGTTTTACATATCTCTGTGATAATAGATGCGATTTGTTTTAACGACTTTTGGGTTAATAAAGTGCAACACTTTTGCTCTGAGCTGAGGTGTCTCAGTAAATTGATCTATAAAAGACCGTAGTTCCCTTACCACAATATAAATAATTTCAACAGGAATTATCTTGGATTCTTAATACTGAAAATTAGAAGACCTAGATTTGCTAACAAGTTTTTACAGGAAAACATTGTTAGAGCTGTACAATACATTGTCTTCAGTGCCAACTCGTTTTCAATTTCGAATGACAATAAAATTTTAATATTTATTCAACGCAGTGCAATGAAACCAAATGTCGGTTTCAAAAGTCATCTCACTATCATTTTCATTTATCGGTCCAGTTTCATAATTTAAAGGAGAACGATTTTCATTTCCCTTTCTGGTAAGAAAAATTATATTGAGGTGGATCAAACTCAATTTGCTATTTTAAAATATTTATCATGCAGTTCTTTCAGCGACTGTATTTTACGAAAACCAGACTTCGAAAAGCTGACTGCCAGTTATCTTTATTAAATTCACAACCAAACAAGAAGCTTCTAATTAACGAGGGCGAATACTTATAACCCTACTGTTTTTCTTTTCTTGCAAATTTTCGGTTTTCAAGAACATGTCTTGCTCTACCATGACAACGTCGATTTGTTTTGCACCAAACGCAACTCACATGATCATTGATTTGAATTTATTGATACTTTTGTCATTTCGGTGAATTGAATATTTTTTGTGTTAGTTAAGTTGTTTCCTTTGGAAAAAAATCGAAAGAACTTCGAGTTCAAACTATGTAAACAGTATTCAGGTTATTGCAAACTAGTGGTTCGAACGCTAGAATAACTTGAACTAACTCGAACGTGCCATGGGTGTGATAAAAAATCGAACGAAGGCTCACGGAAAAAATGAGAAAAAAAAACGAGATTGTGATAAAACAGAGAGCTTCGACGATTTTGACTTTTTCTCTAAACATTTCCACTTGTGACTTGGATATTTTTTTTTCTCCGTATGTGTGCGTGTGTGTGTGGGTGAGGGTGTGTGGGGGGGGAGGGGTTATGTTTTGATAGATGTCATCATCATGGACTTACCGGCATCACTTTAATGGGCTAAAAAATTCACCATGCAAAGTGGCACAGTCAATCTTTGGCAAAACTCTATAATTCGCTAGTTATGCTTACCCAGGCACTCAATTCGGCGCCAACGAAGTGTGAAACCACCTTGTAAACCGCCGGCTGAAGTAAAGTTTGAATAGATATAACATAGAATGTTTTTCTTCTCAGCTGCCACTCTTTTGTCAGCTTTTGCGGCTGATTTTAGCGACACAGCATGTGGCGGTATGTGCATGAAAGTCCTTCGCAGGTCTGGAAAGGTTCTGTTTCGTCGTTGTCGTAACAACAAGGCTTTTGCCAAAGCCTTCACTGTAGAAATGGATGTCATTAAGCAACTGGGGGCGAATGGCACAGATATGGGAAAGAATCGATCAATAGATCCTAAAGCTCAAGATTTCACCATGGCAAAACTGAACAAATCCGCTGTGTTGCAAGGCCTGAAGGCGATGAAGCTCTCCGCCAAGGCTCACTTCAAGGCTCAAAAGGCAAATCTGCACGTTGACATCTACATTCTTTGCCAAAACGGAACGATCAAATTCGATGATGATGAGATAGAAATGAAAACTGGCTCCATGAAATTATTCCTGAAGGTACACAATCATTATTCATTAATCTATCATGTTATCTCTGTGACTAGACATTATAATCACTTAGGGGTAGCGTTACCTAGTTTCTAGATGGTACCAAATAGGACAACCTAAAGGACTAAGCTATTTTAACTTGACTCCACTAAATTTATTTTTTAGTTTAATTTTAGACGAGAACAGGTCTCCTTTTTTCCCGAACTAAGCCACTTTCAGGGAAGAAACTTAGAGCTAAATTAACAATAGAGAGATTGTTTCGAGCGCGGGAAACCTTTAATGATCCGCTGAGTTATTTCCAACATGATTAATCTTACTCAATTGCAAAACATAATGAAAAATTTGTCATCAACCCTTTAGCTTTGTAGAGAATGTCCTAGTTTGGGCTAACCTAGGCATGTTTATCTTTCCCTAAGACAGACATGTGCTCGCATGGAGATAGAAGAAATCATTAGTTTGTCTTTTAACCTTAAACTTGTGACAGGCATTTTTGAGTGACGAACTGGGTCCACCTCAGCTTGGATTTGTTTGAAATATGAACCAGACTGACTCAGAAGGTGGTGCGAGACAATCGCAGAGTTAAGTGAAAAACAAAAAAAAACAAAAAAAACAAAAGGACAACGGCAACAAAAACGACGCAATCCCAAATAAGCTAGAGATTGAATTGAAAGTTCTTTAATTGTTTCCCTTAGTACGCCAAATAGGTTCAAAATTTGACTGTTTTTTTTTAAAGCTTGAAAACTATACTTCCAGTGAGGCGAAGGATATTGAGTTGGGACTCATTGTCCAGGGAAGAAAGGGTCAAAACCCAAGGAAAGACGAAGACATCAAAGACAGTGACGGTAAACAAAAGAAACTCAATCGAAAAATACCATGCCGGAAAACAGGTAAATGCGGCAAGCATTTCCGCTTTGGCGGTGGAGACGATACCGACGATGAAATGTCAGCTGCTAGTAAGGTAAAGTTCTGAGTGAAGTTATTATGCAACAGATCTAAACCATCCTTTCTTTTGGTTGTCTTGCGTAATGATCCAAGAGGGATGACTTTAGCAAATAGTGAAAACATTCAATGACTCGCCAGTCAGTGATCAACAAAACTTTTATTTTAACGGGTTGTTGTGTTTGTTGTTGTTTTTGTTTCTTTGTTTGTTGTTTTCTGTTCTTTTTCCCGCTGTTTTCTAGATAAGTTCAATTTGAAAACCGCCTCCTGGAGAGCGTTTGCAGACAATTATATTCCCCTAATATTATTTCTCACTTCTAACAATTTTAATCTCATTTTTTCCTTTCATTTTTGCTTTACTAGTGCAAAGTAAATGGCAAATTTGCCAACTTCAGCAGCGGTGGCTACCCAAAGCTCGAGAAGGTCGGCAACAAGTATAGGATTGCTTTCCGAGTACCCGCCAATCTCAGCAGAAGCATTGAAATTGACCCAGGAGTGACATTGGGGGATGAACTTAAGGACGAAGACGACAAAGACGATAAAGAAGGCAACGCAGTTTCCGTTCAGCTGAATTTTTTTTTGCTTTTCGTGATGCTGGCAGCCATATTCGCGTTTAACTGAGAACAGTGAAGTTTTACGTTAGGCTTTTGAAAAGCTATATATGTTGTTTTTTTTAATCTGATGTAGCTCACATCAAGAAACCTGTGATAGTACCACCCCTCCCTCCCCTTCCTCGCATTTTTGTTTCCTTTTTCTTACATTCAGAATTCCCACGTAATACTGATGCTTAACGATGATTCCTTTTTCTAATGCAATGCTTAATGTGAAGTTTTGAGAGGCAGCGAGTGAAGAAATAAGGGAAATAAGAGCTGTTTCCAATCTCTTCTCGTTTTCTCGAGCCCATTTGCTTCGCTAGCGAAGTGTTTATGGAAATACGTTGAACAGGCAGTAGTTGTACTTGCATGGTCATATAACGCTTTGATTATCCTTTTCAAAATGTAATAGCTTAATAGCCTAGTCATTTGTATGTTACACTCTACACGCTGAATTGATTGTTACATTTAATAAAACCATTTGCACCTGAGTTAATTTATATGCATTATCACTGTTTGTAGATATTAAGATCTACTTCTTTTTAAAACTCGAAGGCATCTCTGACTTCTCAATCTTAGAGCTAAATCTTGACTACTTAATCATAGAATTATACGGAAATCGTAACTTATCATGAACTAAGCTATTTGATTAAGAAAATCTCTTAAAGAGAGCAAGAAGCTCTAATTGGCTAAAGGACTTCTCAGCTACAACAGTAACTCTCTGACTCTCACGAGTGACTAGAAAATAACTTCACCTTGGAACATCATTCAGGTGAATTACGGCATAAGAATGAAGAATATTTAAATGAAGGTATAATTAGTTGATTCATTACGTAAGTCTCCAAATTAACTTCGTGAGAACTGTATAGCAGACGGTAGGGAGAATTGCCAATGAAATGATATGAGTGAACGGTTTTAAGCAGCAACCTTACAATTTCGATTAACTTTTCTTATTTGAGCATCTATCTCGAATATGACTGGCTTCATAGACTTTGCTTCTTACATTCGGAATTTTATTTTGTGCAGCCGGGGGGGGGGCCGTTCTCGCTTAAGTCTTCTTTTGAAACTTTCTCTTATCCATGTGAGGAAAGCGAGACGCTAATTACAGACTTTCCTTTCGCTAGCAAATATTTTTCGTGCTGAAGATGTGCAGATTACGAAGACTCGAATTTATTTATACCTTACTATTTTATCAAGCAGTGAAAGAAGAAAATCGAGAGGTCCTGCCGAAAAATGGGGTCCAGTAAATAGATAGGCAGGTAGACAACTAAATCATTAAACAAAAAGAAGAACCTGTAGGTTAGAAAACCGTCATTGGGCTAAAATCAGTTTGCATACCAATTTCTATTACGTGAAAAAGGTATAAATTCAAACTCTGTTCGAATAACACTTACAGCAATTTACTGACTAATATCACAATATTTACTTATTTTGTTATCACTCATATTTGCATAACAAGCTCGTTGGACTTCTACGAAGACAGGTGATACTTGACGCAGGGCAGTTTCTTTTCAGCTCAAAATAAACTATTATTCGCGGCCTCTTTCGCTTTCTTGGTTCTTATGAAGCTCTCAACTATTTTTTTAAATAAGGTAATGCGCGGTCATCTTTGTGCAGGAAACTTGACAAACTGAAGCAACTCTACGATTAAGCTGCGTTTTTCTTCTTCCATTTGTAGGTAAGTTTGCATTCAAAACCTGTTCATCATCGACCGAAGCAACATTTACAATGCAGAGGGCTTGCATTTTGTTAAACAATTATCAATCCTCAAATTGGTGACACGTTTCTTTCCAAATGATAAGTTCTTTTAAATTTACAAGTATTTTTTTCTGTCCGAATTAACATGTCAAAGTACTCTGACCACAAGGACTGTCTTTGTTTTCAGTGAAACTGTTATGAATGACGAAAATACCCGTCTGCACGTTTTCAAGTTTATTCTCAGGTAACACTCCGAAAACATGTGATCCAACAGATCATGTGATAACAACAACTACACAAGACAACCAACTAATCATATCATATCCCTTCGCAAGTCAGCCGGCTACTTCTTTGGATTTCGCTGTTTCCACCGGCGGCCGTGTCTTCCTCGCAGTATCAATACTACTATATTGAGCAGTTGGCGAGCTGAACATTTTCGATTTTTCCTTTGATTATAGGGTGTAAGTTTCTAAATAAACTATGGTGCTGCGTCGGTGGGAGAGAATAGCGGGTAAATTAGTGTTAACAACTGAGTTGAAAACGTAAATTGGCCTCCATAAAGGGTAAAAAAGCTGATGTTTTGAGTGTCAGCCCTTCGCCAATCGTTCTGAAGAGGGCTAACGCTCGAAACGTCAGCTTTTTACCCTTTATGGTGGCCAATTCAACTCAGTTGTTCCCCCTAAATTACCTGTTCCTTTGATTGTTCCGTGATTCTGCATAGATCAATGGCTTTCTCGTGTGTCAACTTCCTCTCGCGTAGCAGTCACTCTCGTAGCTTGGAATCACCTATTCCAACCACAATCTGATCTCTTATCAGAGAATCTTTAAGCGCTTCAAAATCGCATTACTCAGCCCTTCGTCTTAGAAGTTAGAGTTCATATTGTTGTGAATATGTAAGTTAATTATATTTTTTGTGAATTGTATGTTGATAAATGGATTTTAAAAAAAATAGGGTATGATTTAAAAGTGATACGATATTATTATAGGACACAAAATATGATAATTGTGGATAAAAGGTGAATGTTGTCGATACAGTGAATGTTGATATAGTTGTTCATTGATAACTTGTTGCATACATCATAAATATGTGAGTTAGTTTTATGTTATGTTGATAGTATGTTAAAAAACAAAACCAAAGAAAAATGAGATTATATTCAGTGTAATTTATTAAATTAGAGGAAAATCAATCCTTTCAATAACTCAACAAAGTCCAGTAAAGGCAGAAGATTCTTCACAACAAAACATTCAGACCTAGAAGAGCACAAAGACTTTAACAGCAAGAATGCTTTTTAATGTGATTCTTCACACAAGTAAAGTCCATCTTTTGTGAAGAACGATCCATTTAAAAACGAATTTTCATTCTTGGGTAAAAGACAATAATTTTCATGAGGAGAGTCAGAAACTGACATCCTTCCCAAACAAATATCGTGTCTCTAGAGAAGAGCAGTAATTCTTCCGATAAGCTTGCTTAAAAAATGAGATTCTGCTTAAATGGACATCATCTTGGAAGGAGAGCAGTGTTTCTTCTCAGAAGAATACCTCATTAATCCTATTTAGTGTAGGTGTATCAGTTTGAAATCCAGTTTCTAAAGAGCCCTCAATTCAACCTAACACTCTAATTGATAGAATCAAGATGGCGTAGTTGCCTTGTTCATTTGCATCTAAATGTAGAATCAAATGTTATTTTTCTCGCACTGGCCAGGGACGGCAACAGTTCAGTACCTCTAAATTCGTGGGTGTACAGCATTAGAAAAAAATTAAAAAAAAAAAAATTGTAAGACGTCAGTTTATCCCAAACATGCTTTTCTTCCGAGAAGAAGTTTATTCTAGCGCGTAAAGGGGTAAGTTTCTAAAGAAACTGTGGTGCTGCGTCGGTGGGAGAGTATAGCAGGTAATTTAGTGTTAACAACTGGGTTGAAAACGTAAATTAGCCACCGTAAAGGGTAAAAAAGCTGACGTTTCGAGCGTTAGCCCTTCGTCAGAGCGATTGACGAAGGGCTAACGCTCGAAACGTCAGCTTTTTTACCCTTTACGGTGGCTAATTTACGTTTTCAACCCAGTTGTTAACACTAAATTACCTGCTATTCTAGCGCGTATTGGCTTGGATGGAGTTTACGAAGGCCGCGATTTCTCGATATGCCTTAAATATCATGCACAACTTGGTACAGTTGCTTACTGCAGAGGCGCTCATATAAATATTGGTGGGCGATCCTCCCTCTGACTTAAGAACTAGAACAAGTTTATAGCGCAGACCAACTTGCACAGTTTGGAGCATCTCAGGGTCTCACTGGGCTCATCACATTCAGCAAACTAATCGTAGAAGCGGGTGGTTATCACTCAGGTTAATTAAGGCCTGGGTCACCCTGTCTTTAACCCATATTTTCACAAAATTGAGAATAACTTGGCTATTTTGCGAGGGATTTTTCTCATACTTGGCAGAAATGTGTATCACTACCATCTCTCTCGGACTGAATCGTGGCAGCGTAATATGATACTCTCAACAGCCAAAAACAGTTAATTTAGGCGCCAAATTCGTCGGTTGCTTTCTTGAGCAAATTCCCACCACTAAACACAAGGCAAATCAAAATGCAGTTATCGCCATGAATATTTGAGACGTTTTTCATTGTTTTCCCACTTGGAATGGCTGCCAAAAAGAAGAGAGATGTGCTAGGCAGATTAAATCAAGTTTTGTCTCTGCGAAGCTGCTTTCTCTATCATGGTTTTCGCCCGAAAACATCTTAGCCTTTACCTGGTTCCAACCGCTATCAACGAAATCCCACAGGTTCCTATTTATTTGGAAAAAAGACAAATTAAAACTGTTTAAGAGGTGGGAATTTTGAAAACTCGTAGTCACGTAATTCAACTTAGTGTCCGCCATTTTGACACGCGAGTGTTCAGAAGCAATAATTTAACGGCTGATACACTACCAAATACTAATTGGAGCAATCTCAGAAGTAATACAGGCAAACTTTGTATACTTTTGGTGATATTTATTTCTTTTTCTCGTTTCTGAGGTCGATTGCATCTCTGTAAATCCAGGGTTAGATCGCCTTTGACAGTTCTAATAAAACACAATTGCAAATTTGGGCAGTAGGAATAAAGAACGTTTGTAATTTTATCCCAAGTAGTATCATATAACGAGACTGAATTACAATTTTGGCGCAAAACTTGAAAGTTATCGTAAGATACGCACACTGATTCCTTGAAACTCTTCAAGGTTTTGTTCACTAACAACGGTACTACGCGATAACGAGCTAAGTGTATTCGTGTGAAACGAAAATGTCTGTCATTTTTAATTGTGGATTTGCAAGAGTTGCTGTAAAGGAGAGCTTTCGTAAGGTTGGAAGTGCTTCGGTTGAAACTAACCCTAGTGAAAAGTGGAAGAACTATCTTGCAGCGTTCGAGGGTGACAGTCAGGAAGTCTTTGCGGTCGAACGTTCCACATACGTCAAGAAATCCAAAGCAATTTACAGCTCTTTCCGAAAGATGAACTCAAAAGCCAGGGCCCAGTACCAAGACACGTTTTCAATGGTAAACTGGAAAGCTCTTAATGCAGCGCAGAAGAAACAGCACACACTGTCAAATTGTGGAGGTTGTCAAGTGCACTATTATGCCATTTTTTCCTTAGTGGAGAAACTTTCAAAACCCGAAAACTTTTAAAAGAGGCCCTTATTGAAAGTGGGGTGACACAAAGTAAAGTGAAACCAACGCAAAAAGCCATTAAAACTGCTGTAAAACACATTTATTCAAAAGTGAATGGCCACTTTGAGAAAATATTTAAAATAAGCTTTGCTGA